GCAGCCAGATCCTAAACAATGGCTAAGGTCCCACAGTCCTGTAGGACTACAAGTGTAAGCCCCACTGACCACTAGAGCCAGCTGATCTGGAGTTGTCCCCTGGGCACAGGTGTAAAGATTTGGGGCTCTAGATGAGTGCATAAGCTCATAAGCTCAGATACCAGGGAGGTAGGGGGAGAACGCAAAGGCGGTGTCCACCGTCTACATTACCTCAAGCTCTAGATGTGTGCCAAACCTGAAGCCTACCCCTCAGTCTGAAGCTCCCGACAAGCACATAGGCTTCTTTCATAGTTGGCTGTTGGTGCAGTGCCTTGGGGAATGGGTAGCTTGCCAAGAACAATCTCTCTGATTGTTACTGTCCTCTGGGACACAGGAATGCGAGTGTCCCTTAGTCAATAGAGCCAGATCAAGGGGCATTCTCTGGATGGCAGGCCCTAAAACTGGGCCACCAGCTGGGTGTAAGAGCTCTCTTCTGAGACATACTGGTGCTCTAGTATATAGCCGGACAGAGTATGAAGCGGGGCAGATGTCTCTGGAAATGTCTCTGGAAAGGATCAGTCAGGTCTTAGATGTGTATTCAATCATAAGCCTGCACCTCTGGCTGTAGCTCTGATAATAAGCTAATAGGTCTCTTTCATAGAAAGGCAGAGCTCTGGGCCTATTGCCTCTTGCTGTGCCCTAGGGGTGGCAGCTGGTTCAGAACTTTTTCTCCGTTGGTTACAGTCCTGTGGGATCTGTGAAAGTAAGCCCTGCTGACCACCAGAGCCAGGTGCTATCGAGGCGTCTCCAGGTGGCACCTGCTAAAATCTGAGCACCAGACAAGGGTATAAGCTCCTTTCTGAGAGATTCTGGGAAGCAAAGGAGAGGGAGAGTGCAGATATAGCATCCTTTGTTCCTAGACAGAACCTCCACAGGCCTATAGATTGGTGCCATACCAGAAGTCTGCCCTCAGGCCACAGCTCCTGGACAAACAGATAAAGACTGTATGTTGCTGTCAGGGCTCTAGGGTGGTAGCCTGCCAAAGGGTGTTCTCGGATTGTTACACTCACTCATATGGAACACAGGCATGCAAACCCCTAGACTCCAAACCTAATGATCAAGGTTGTTCCCTGTGTGGCAGCTGCAAAAACCAGGCTACCAGATACTGTGTATCTGGCAGGTACTGGTGCTCAGGGGTGCAGCAGAAGTAGAATGTGAAAATGGCATCTGCCAGCCTCCAACCCTGGAAAGCATCCCCAGGAGACCTGTAGACGTGTATTAAATAAGATACCCCCTCAGGTTGATGCTTTCAGACTAGCATCTGAGCTTCTTTCACATAGCCTGTCTGTTGCCTGCTGCTGCTCTGGGCTCTAGGGCAGGTGATTCCAAGCATGGGGCCCTTTAAGAGTTGTGTTTATATTCCTTGTAGCCTTATGGGTTACATGGATATGAGTCTTGTTGACTTCCTTTTTCTTTTTAATTTAAATTTGATTAGCCAACATATAGTACATCATTAGTCTCAGATGCAGTGTTCACCAATTCATCACTCACCAAAGGTAGATATTTTGGGAGCTCACCTCTCAGGGGCAGGTCTTAAATGCTGCAGTGCCTGATGTGAGCGCTTGAACCCTTTGTTCTTCAGGGAGAAGCTCTAGGTTTTTAGTTTCCTCCTGATTATGGTTCTCTGTGCTGTGGATGAGGTTTATGGTGAGATTGAGTCTTAGCCTCTCTTACCTGCTGTGATGTGGGTTTTTTCTTTTCTTGTTTGCCTACTATTGTAGCACTTGGTTAGCTAGTTTTTAGGGTTTTTTTGAGAGAATTGTTCCATAGACTTGGTGTGTCTGTGAGAGGAGGTGTGAGTTTGGGCTCTTCTTAGATCTCCATCTTGAATTTTAATGGGCTAAGAGCAACTTACAATTGTACAGAATTTTGCTACTTCTCCACCTCATTTGATCTTCACGATACCCCTACATGGAAAAGGCACTATGTTCTCATCTTTCAAATTAGAAAACATAGGTGCACAGAAGTAGATGATTTGCCGAGGTCATGCAACTAATGATATAACTGATAGGAAATCTGGCCCTGATGGTTGATCCAGAACTCTTTTCACTATAAATCCTGCCTCCTTCTCATTTCAGAGTAGTCATGTCAGGCTAATTAGAGGATGCATCAGCTCAAAATTGTTAGATGACAAATAAAAAAATATCTTTTAATTTTCCCTTTTAGATTATTTCTTTGTTGAAGGTGAGTATCCTAGCTGCCCTTTACAAGCACAGTATCTTTTGTAACAGCTATATTGAGCATGGCAGCAATATATGCTGAAAAGACTATTGAGTATGCTGCCATTTTGTGATTAAAAAGTGGGGGAGGGGATATATATGCAATTATGTGTTGTGTGGCCAGAGACAGGAGGGAGAGGGACTTACCTGTCATTGTAGGCTCCTTTCTGTTGTTTGATTTTTTAAAAAAACAAATATATGTGTCATTAAAAAAAATCAAATGACAGCAACACTAATGACAAAATAATGGTAAAAATAAATTTAACAGTATGGCCCTAAGGCAAAATTTCTGAGAGGTTCCTTAGACTGAAGGAGTTATCTATTAGCCTTGCTCCCACATGTCATCGGAAACTTGGGTAGTATTTCAGCTACTCTGAGGCAACACGGAAGAAAAAAAACCTTGGAAATGAGGTAAAAATCTTACCACCAATCATAGAATGATATTTGCATAAAACCTGAAAGAAGTATGGCAAGAAATAGGTCTTTCAATAGATATATTTTCCACTCTGGTTAAACTCTGAGGAATTCCCTCCTGGGCTGGGTAATAAGTATGCCAGACTTATTCCACATCTACCGTTAAAATCTCTCCCCCTCTGTCATGTAAATTGTTCTGCATTGTATTAATATTAAAGACTGATAAAAAAAGAATGTCCCTCCTTGCCAACCAAAGATCTTCACAGCTCTCTTTATTACTTAAAATGCTGTAGGTCTGGCTCTAAGAGATATCCAGAAATAGAATTTTGATTTGTAAATACTTTAGTCAGCTTGAAATTCAACTAAAATACATTTTGATTAAAAGGCAGAATTTTACTTGGCATGATAGTTAAGAGGACACTCAAGGCAACCAAGAGGATCTGGTCAACAGGGTTAAAATAAATTCCAGAAAGCTGGATTTCAGGGTCTCCCAAGTCCAGTTCCAGCCCCTTTACAGGAATGCTCTAAATGTACAAGAAGGGGTTAACAATGTCTTGCTATTTAAAGAAAACCTCTGCGTAAATAACAAGTTACAATCTTTTATCCTGTGATTGTTCTTAAGAATACAACCGTAGACTAATATCGCTGTAGAAAATAGCAGGGGTGCCATTTTCTCTAGATTCTGAGGAAGAGTGGAATTAGTCTGTGATCATTAGAAAGCTTATAAAAACTTCTCTTGCTAGCACATGGGAAGACAAATTAGGGTGAGGATTCGTATCTATGGAGTGTTAAGCTCAAAAACTTCATTACTGGGAACTAGAACAACTTAGTCAATTTCTCGTAATGACAACTACATACAACATATACTCCATAGTATCATTAATATACAAAATACCAAATAGGTCCTGGTGTCTGAATCAGCCCCAACTAGCTTCCAAACGAATCATTTTACAAAGCTTTATCTGGAAAACATCTGGCAGTTCCTCACAAAGTTAAATGTGTAGAATTTACCATACAACTCCTAGTGTTTACCCACAAAAACTAAAAACAGGTCCTCAAACAGATCCTTATACACAAATGTTCATTGCACTATTCACAACAGCCGCAAGGTGAAAACTGCCCAAATATGCACCAATGAATGAATGGATAAACAAATTATTAATATACACAATGGGATATTATTCAGCCACAAAAAGGAATGAAGTTAATTATACATGTTACGACATGGATGAACCTCCAAAACATTTAAGAAATGTATACTATGTGTAGGATGATTCCTTTTATATGAAATATGCAGGACAGGTAAATCCGTAGCAACAAAAAACAGACATGTGGTTGCCAGTGGCTGGGGGGAAATGAGGGATGGGGAGTAAATGGGTAAAGTTTACTATTCTGGAGGGATGAAAATGCTGGAACTAGAAAGTAGTAGTGGTTGTAGAATACTGTCAACTGTACTAAATACCACTGAATTATTCACTTCAAAATGCTTAATTTTAAGTTAGAAGAATTGTACCTCACTTGACAAAGCTTTATCTTTAATTTCAGCATTGAATTAAGGCATTTATAAATGCCCTATTCGTCATAATGAAGTAATTTTCATTTTAAATCAGTCAAGAATAATTTTATGATATTTCAATTTAAAACATACTGTACCCATTTACCAACCCATGGCTCATATGCCACTTCACTCAGTTAAAATGTAATTTATAATTTCAGTTAAAGCACAATCTCTCTCCTTTTAATCCTTGAACCATTACCCATCTTGTTGCAGGCCATTTTATCCCAACCACAGATAATGCAACCTGTATTTATTTCCAATTGCAATGACACGCACACACAAATTCCTGCAAATTTAAAAGTGAACTTCCCTTCTCTCCCCACAAGATGTATACTGGTTCCAGAGACAGAAATGCTAAGAAACTATGTTAATTTTTAGAGTGAGAAACTATAGACTTGATAATATTTTAAAACCATATTAGGTGAGGTTATTGTGCCAATTATAAGACATTCCAAAGCAGTGGTCTAGAGCCATAGCAACACTTAAAAAAATAATAATTTTTAGGGATTAAAGAAACCCTTTCCAAAGTGCTTATAAGTATACTCATCTTTTAAATTTAGCAATGTTACATGTAGAAATCTGATCAATAAGGTTAATGAATTGAGTTTCTGCTCCTGTGTAAGTACAAAATATGAATACTTACACATTATTGTGTTGATTTTCAAATCATTCTAACTTGGGCTCTACTTTACTCCTGTAACTTTGCTTGTGAATGTTTTGTGCTGATGGAGTACATTTTTTACCACCAAAAAGAAACAGTCTATTCTTACCATAATTAAGAGCTTCTGGTGCTGTCCATTTAATGGGAATCTGCTTTAAGCCAGAAGATGAATACACTCCACCATCCTCTTGACGAGACATTCCAAAGTCACTGATTTTCAGAACGTTATTTTCACCTACCAGGCAGTTTCTTGCAGCCAGATCCCTAGGTTACAATAAGATATAGAAAATACCTATTAAAACAAATTGAAAGCTGCTTTCACATTTATGACTTCCACACTTTGCATTTTTACATTTGCAATGTATTTATAATGAGGTTAAGAATGCTTGTGATTTACCAGTCCTTCTCATCTTTTCTGTCATAGGCAAAAATCACCAGTGAGAGTATTTGCATAGGGAACAGGCCCCATGCTAAATTTCTAGGCACCACATATATTTCCATTTAAATAGAAAAGTACTGATTCTAGGGTTAAGAGAAAATCACAGAGGAGAGGCTATGCAAACTTGGCCTTATTTCTCACTGGACTAGATTTCCTAGAGTAGCACTATTTTACATAACTTCTGTAATGATGGAATGTTCTCTATCTGTGCTGCCCAATAGGTAAGTCATTGGCACATGTGACTATTGAATACTTGGAATGGAACTCATGCGATCGAGAAACTGCATTTTTAAATGTACTTTTAGTTAATTAAATTTAAATAGCTGCATGTAGCTAGACGGCCTTTGGCTGTTGTAGACTTAGAGCTTCCCAAAGGGTGGAGAATGACTTAGGTGCTAGAGAGGCTTGCAATTCTTCTTCTACTGCATCTGGGACAGGCAAAACTGCAATGATCTGGCTCTGCCTGTCTCTCTCACCTCATCTTGCTCTACTCTACATAATTTCTATATTCTACCTATACTGGGTTTCTTTTTGTCCTCAAATGCAGGACAATCCCCTAATGTGACAAGCTTATTTCCACTGTAGGGCTTTGCCTGGAGTGCTCTTATTTGTTATTTGTTTTCTTTGCCTGGAGTGCTTTTCTTCTAGGCTATGTTATAGCTGGCTCATATTCATTCTTCGCTCAAATGCCCTTTTCTCAGAGAAATCTGTCTTGACCATCTCTTTTCATCACTGCGGTCTTCCTTATCAGATATCCCTACTTTAAGTCTAGTGAGAAGCCCTTCAATAATCAAACTCATATATGTACCTATTTATACATTTTTATATATTTATATATGTAGAGACAGAGAACGTATATGAGTGTATGAATCTATACATATACACAGAAAATCAGATAATATGTCAAATAGTCTGAGTATGAAGAAAAAAGTTGTATAAGGGGAGAGATTTACTAGCAGGAATCCTATTTGAGGTAGGCTGTTAGGGAAGATCTCTTTGATAATATGGTATTTGACATGAAGGAAGTTAAGAAGCCAGCCATGGGGTTATCTAGAAGAAATGCATTCATGATAGAGACCCTGAAATTGGTACATACTTAGTATACTCAAGGAACATTAAGGAAGCTAGTATAACTGGTATGAAATGAGGGGAAGAAAATAGTCAATTTAATCAGAAGGTTAGCCAAAACCAAATGATGTATAGCTTTTTTACTAGTAAGTCCCTTGGATTTTACTGAGAGTAAGCTGGGAGGTAACTGGAGAGTTCTGCCCACAAGAATGATGTGATCTTACTTAAGGTTTGAAGAACTATATGCTATTGTGTAGAGAATGAACTGACGGAGTTCCATTAGAAGACTATTTCAGAAGTCCAGGAATGGCAACAATAGCCTGCACGAAGAGGGAGTCAATCAATAATATTTGCTGGTAGACTGGATGTGGAAAAGGAGAGAAAAGGAATCATGGATGACTCCAGGATATTTTGAGCCTGAGCACCTAGAAGCATGGAACGGACATTTACTGAAATGGGAAAGTTACCAAAAAATTGCTAGAATGGATACAGGAATTTAGCCAAGTTGCAGGATATAAAAATCAACGCACAGAAGTGAGGTGCATTTCTATACACTAACAGTGAGGCAGAAGAAAGAGAAACCAAGGAATTGGATCTTATTTACAATTGCACAAAACCTGTAATATACCTAGGAATAAACCTAACCAAAGAGGTAAAGGAGCTATACTCTGAAAACTATAGAACACTCACTCAATAAATTGATGAAGACACAAAGAAATGAAAAAAACATTCCATGCTCATGGATTGGAAGAACAAATATTGTTAAAATGTCTATGCAACCCAAGGCAATCCAGTGCAATCCCTATCAAAATACCAACATTTTTCACAGAGCTGGAACAGAAAATCCTAAGATTTGTAACCAGAAAAGACCCCAAATAGCCAAAGTAATGTTGAAAAAGATAACCAAGAGTGGAGGCGTCACAATTCTGGACTTCAAGCTGTATTACAAGACAGTATGATAATGGGACAAAAAAGACACAATAGAATAGAAAACCCGGAAATACACTCAACTCTATAGTCAACTAATCTTCGACAAAGCAGGAAAGAATATCCAATGGAAAATCGCAGTCCTTCAACAAACTGGACAGCCACATGTGGAATAGTGAAGTTGGATGACTTTCTTACACCATATACAAAAATGAACAAAATGGATGAGAGACCTAAATGTGAGACAGGAATCCATCAAAATCCTAGAGGAGAATATAGGTAGCAACCTCTTTGACCTTGGCCACAGCTACTTATTAGACACATCTCCAGAGGCAAGAGAAACAAAAGCAAAAGTGAACTATTAGGACTTCTTTAAGATACAAAGCTTTTGCACAGCAAAGGAAACAGCAAAACTAAAAGGCAATCTATAGAATGGGAGAAGATATCTGCAAATGACATATCAGAGAAAGGGCTAGTATCCAAAATCTATAAAGAACTTATCAAACTCAACACCCAAAAAACAAATAATCCAGTCAAGAAATAGCCAAAGACATGGAGACACTTCTCCAAAGAAGAAACAAATGGCCAACAAGCACAGGAAAAGGTGCTGAACATCACTCATCATCAGGGAAATGCAAATAAAAACCACAATGAAATAACACCTCACCCAGGTCAGAATGCTAAAATGAACAACTCAGGGAATGATAGATGTTGGCATGGATGCAGAGAAAAGAGAACCCTCTTATGCTGTTGGTGGGAATGCAAGCTGGTGCAGGAACTCTCGAAAATAGCATGGAGATTCCTCAGAAAGTTAAAAATGGAGCTACCCTATGACCCAGCAGTTGTACCACTAGGTATTTATTCAAAGGATACAAACACAGTGATTTGAAGGGGTACCTGCACCCCAATGTTCATGGCAGCAATGTCCACATTGACAGACGAATGGGTAAAGAAGATGTAGTGTATGTATACATTAGAATATTACTGAACCATGAAAAAAAAATGAAATCTTGCCATTTGCAACAAGGTGGATAGAACTAGAGGCTATTAGGCTGAGTGAAATAAGTCAGTCAGAGAAAGACAAACACCATATGATTTCACTCCTGTGTGGAATTTAAGAAACAAAACTGATGAACATCGGGGAAGGGAATGAAAAATAAGATAAAACAGAGAGGCAAACGATAAATGACTCTTGACTAGAGGGAATAAATTGTGGGTTGCTGGAGGGGAGGTAGGTAGGGGTCTGCTAAATGGGTTAAGGAGGGCACTTGTGGTGAGTCCTGGGTGTTAAAGGTAAGTGATGAATCACTAAATTCTATTCCTGAAACCAATACAGCGCTATATGTTAACTCACTTGAATTTAAATAAAAGCTTAGAAAAAACAAAAAATAAATTACCATTACACTTCTCTCTCCTGCTATCATAAAGAGGAAGCATACTAAAGTTGTAAAAGCATCAAGAGATAAGGAGACTGGGTGCCTAATGAGTATGCTATATATATTCTGGACTGTCTATTTCTTATTTTTTTATTTTTATTTTTTATTTTTTTATAAATTAATTTTTATTGGTGTTCAATTGGACTATTTCTGTATTTGTGGGCTTTTGTGTGTGTGTGTGTGTGTGTGTGTGTGTGTGTTATATTTGCAGTCAAAAGTAATCAGTATGGATGGGGGAAGGCCTTAGTTTTGGACATGTATAGTTTATTCGATTTTCAAGTACAGATATAGAGTAGGCAAGTGGGTCTATTAGTCTGGAGGTTAGAAAAGGTCTAAGAGTTGTCAGCTTTCAGATTTGAGGTTATAGAATTACAGAATGCTTTCACCTAGAGAGTGAGTGTAGAGAGGAAATAGAAGTGTTCAAGGCATGCCATCATTTAGTTGCCATCATGAGTTTCCCCCTCATTTCTCTTGGAGCACTCCTCTTATGTGTACTCCAGTTACACAGTAATACAAGGGAGGCAACATTAGTGTCTGAAACATAATAGAAACCAAATCCTTGTGACCTGAGGAATCAGGAAAAGAGGTCCTTATAAGTGTATGGAAAATCATAAAGAGGAAATGGCCAGAGAAGAGGATTACCTGGTTCCATGTTTGAACCCACTCAAATTTCAGTCTAATCCTTGAGCTACACATTTGATGGGCAGACCTAAGCCCGTTTAGAGAACAAAACTCCTTTAACCCATGTCTCAAAGTAATTCCTGGCTGTCTCACACAGGGTACTAAAACACAGGCTTTGAGAAAGTTAACTGTGATTTGAATCACTGTGAGACAGAATTTGCATTGTGAACCCAACAGGGTTGATTGCCTACAGAAACAAAAATCTTAATCATCTCCAGCACAATATAACAGGGACTTAGAGTTTGTACAGTATAACATTCATAATATCTAGGGCACAACTCAAAATTGCTAAACATACCGAAAACCAGAAAAATGTGATCAATTCTAAGGGAAAAGCAATCAACAAATGCCAACATTGTAGTAACCATAATAAAGTGGCTATTATAACTATACTCCGTTCGATAAAGGAAAATATATTTGAAATTAATGGAAAAGCAGACATCCTTAGTAGAGGAATAAAAACTGTAGAAAAATTATAAAAATGGAGAAACTGAGAAATAAAATAAAGTATCTAAAATTTAAAAATCACTGCATAGTATCAAAAGCATACTGATAACAGAGGAGTCAATACACTTGAAGATAATCCAATATAAAATACCCTAGCTGAAGAACACAAAGAAAAGAAAATAGAAAAATGTGAAAAGAGGATCCCTGGGTGGCGCAGCAGTTTAGCGCCTGCCTTTGGCCCAGGGCGTGATCCTGGAGACCCGGGA